AAAAAAATGAACTTCATCCTAACAGAGTACAATGACACTATCACAAACTGGAGATTTCAAGCCTCTCAAGCAATATTCCACTTTCATTCCCCTTTTGGACAAAAAAGGAGTTGGCCTCTCCAACACCGGTTCACAAAATCCATGTTTTTTTTTCCACTTCAAATCAAACCCTGACGATGTAGATCATTGTACGTCTTCTTGTTGTAGATGTTTCCTTCTTGGTCTTCGTACTCTTCTTCAAGGTCTGGGCGCCACTTGTTCAGGCCTTGTTTCTCCTGAATTTTCTCCCAAAGCTCTTTTGCATCCTGTGGATAAAAAAAATAAAAAATAAAAATAAAAATGTTATCAAAATTTGAACAAAAGTTGATGGTGTAGAAATAAATTATGATGAGAATCCAAATTATGCTTAAAAAAGATACCGGGATCGATGTAATTTCATTGAAGTTCTTAGTATTTGGAATTCCAAGACAACGCATCCCGTGCTGGTGCCTAAACTCCTTGAAATGACGTTCATAGGCCCTGCGACCCCAATAACTGTGGTTTCCACAAATCTCGCATTTGAACTCCTGTTAATATTTTCAAGCTTGTCTTATTAGTGAGTAAAGACTGGTAAGATCATGAGGAATGTGCATTCCTTTCTTTTTTTTTTCGTTGTTCTCTTTTTTAATAGTCCATCATTATCTTTTCTATTGATGAAAGCAAATTGTCAGTAGTTGATTATTCTAATTATATGGTAACATTTTAACACACTAACTTGTGTTGTGAACAACAAATAAGCTGAAAATTTATTGATTATATATATGGTTGAATTCAATTAAAATCAAGCTGCACTTCATAAAATTAATGATTACCTGACCCAGCCCATGAAGCTTATACAACCAGTAGGGTATGGGCTTTCCATCCCATCCCATGGGCAGTTTTAGGGGATTGTAGATCTGCTGATCTTCATCATCACTTTCAGACTCGGGCTGCGCTTCATCCTGATTACAGAATTAAAAGGTCAGCCACCAAGAACTAATTAACAGCAAGAACGTGTCTAATAATGCTTCAGACATAATAATTAGACTTAATGAGTTGCCTCTAAAGTAAATTTCTATCACATATTTAACGTGCCATCAGCAAAAAGTTAAGAGACGGAGAGAGGTGCATGCTCGGTGCTCCTAAGAGACAATAAGATGACAGCAAGAACGGCTACATGTCTCAGTGAGAGCTCAATGAGTCAAAGCTCATTAATAGAGTTTTTTTTTTTTTTTTTTCATTTAAAAAGGAGAATCAATAGTGTCCCCATTTCACCTCCTCAGTGACTCGAACCCATGACCTATCGGTCATAGGTGAAGCGTCTTACCATCGAGCTGCTCTTGGCCATTATTACACATGTTCGACTTGAACTATTTTCCCTATGCATCATGGGAGATAAATTTGTTTTATTGGGCTCAGTTCTGCATGTGAGATTGCAGGGTTTGAAAGAAATGGTACCTCTTCACGTTCTTGAACAATTTCATCATATGTCATGGCATGCTTCTTCTCAATATTTTCTTTTGTTCGTACAATTGTCTGCGGAAATTCAAGAAAGCATAATGCATTAGCAACTGTTTAGAGAATGAAGAAGTTTAGAGAACACAGACAGGTAAGCATGAAAAAGGCCGGGATTCAGACAGGAGATAGGAAGCTTACCTCATGCAAGATGTCACATATTTTTTTCATTTTTTCTTCCATCAAGGCAATCTCTTTTGCATCTTCACTGGGTTGTGGGGCCACAGCACCGCCATTTTTCTTGGGCCCATTAGAACCTTTGGCAAAATGTTTTTTGTCCAGCTTTTCAAGAGGTGTATGCTGCAAAAAAAGAAAAAATTGGTGAAGATGATGAGGATGTATAATCTTCAAAATGATCATAGGAAGAGTTCACCACATTTAGTGTGAAAATAAAGTGGAATTCAATTTGGAGACACTATAACTCCAAGCCTGATATGAAGCTTCTTGGAGTTCAGCTATATTCAACTTCTATCGAGAACCGAACAAACAAATAGAAAGTTTTGAGAGCCACATAAAGAATAAAGAAAAAGAAAAGAGGTTATGCCCGGACCTTTGTGAGAAAGAGCCTTTCCGCACGCTGTTGTAGTGTACCTCCCGTCTTCAGACCAAGCACAGCCAATGCCTACAGCAAGTAGTATCAGTAAAAACATGAACATAAGCAGGTAATCACATGCTAGTTACTAATAAAAATGCAATTTTGTAAATTAAAAATTTACATGCAATAACCGGAGCAGTAAGAATACATGCATAGGTAGTTAAACAGTCTCGGATAGTTATATATTGATAACTGCTGGTATGAAATTTCCCAACCACTTCATAAGTATTTAATTAGGTTTATAAGAATAAGTTTTCCATCAGCCACACTCAATTTCTCGTGAATACATGTTTCAATATAAAGACTGAAACTTCCCAAAGCAGGATGGCCTCATTTTGGAAACAAAAAGTGCAGTTTGGAATTAACTCAGTTATTTAAAATATATACATAAACTACATAGAAACTCATCCAATAAAATATTGGACGTACCTCCTTTAATTTATCAAGTCCAACTTCCATTAGCTGTTCAACAGTACTATAGTAATCAAGATCAATTACAGCATCCTGCTGTTGGACATTTCCATTTCCAAGATTCTCACTCTCCCATCCTTCTACCAATCCACTGCTCCACCGCTCTTCAAATTCAGCATTTACCTATTCAGTGGTGAAAGTCTATTAAATATTAAGAAGGCCAGCTGCTCAGTGGTGTCAAGAAATCAACAAATAATAAAGGGCGGATTCTTTTGATAGAGACACGTAAGCCAAAATTTGGTAAGATCGCTATTGAAGGTTCAAACGAAAAAGCTAGAGAAGTTCAATAAGGCAAAGTCGGGTTTAGATCCAAGAGGTAAAGACAAGAAAAGAAAACTTTTATCAGAAACACATAGCAAACCTTAGAAAAAATTCTTTCAAGATCTTGCAGAGGTTCTGTACGCTCAAGAAAGTATATAAGATATTCCAGAAGTTTCTGCATATATTCCCTGTATTGCCTGTTGCAAACAAAAAGAGAGATCAGAGACTAACTGTAACAAACAAGCAAACCTATTCAAAGAGAAAGGTCACTGCAGAGAAAAAGGTATCTTCTTCCCATGTACAAGGAAGGCATTAAGCTGCTAGCCATCCAAAAGAATGCACACACACTCTAAGAATCCTAAAACGGCCCCAAAAAAATGCAAATTTTTTATAAATAAATGTGGGAGAGATGACAAGCAATATACATTTTGTGTTTATGTGTGAAGACAGTCCACTGTGTCCAACCAGAAGCCAAATTTTATCAAATATCCTTCAGTTCTCATATCCAAACTTCCAAATGTCTTATTATGTATGATTAAATGCAGAACCTTTGAGAGAGAATATGTGTGTGTGTGTGTTTGTAAACTAATGGGAGCTTAAAATAGCAAATTATTACTTTACCTGGTCAACTTTAACTTGCGGGATATCCTCCCTGTGTCAGAAAAAATATCAACATAAGCAGAGTACTCAATTTGCTCCCCGAACTTTGAGTTGATGTAGTCATTATATAATTCATGCAAATCAAGATACTTCCCAAAGGCTTCCTGAAATCGCATTCACAAAAACCGTGAGCATGATCGAAAAACCCATCACCCACCCGATCACCCAGTGAATGTGAGAACTTCAAGTGGAAAACGATATCCCTCATTGTCCAAAAGTGACTAAAAAACTAGTTGGAAAAGGTTTTAAAAAAAAATCTTTTCAATAACTACGCAACCATAAGGAAAATGGTATTTAAAATTTTACAAAATATCACACTAGAAATCTCGAAATTTCATAGTGAGATTTGGATTTTTCAATCTAATTGTTGAGCAATTCAAATAAACGAGATATACTTCGACATTCAGTCATCAGCCTTTATATTTCCAATACGTAATAGCTTCCCATTATCTAGGCAAACAAGGTTATCCACTTCTGTGCAAATCTGCAAGCATTTTAATTACTTAGTTTTTCAAAGCTAGGCAGCCAACCTCCCCAGTAAATTCAATGACTGGCTCCTCTTTGAGAAGTAGTTCGTACTCATCAGTTGTATCGACATAACGGGCAGCCGGATGCCGTCTATGGTACTCCCGAATCTGAAAACATCCAACAAGTAAAGTCCTAACTTCATCAGAAACAAGAAAACACTACATTTAAAAAAAAAAATGGAAAACCTAATGTACACACCTCTTTCAACCTATCATAAAATGCACTAAAAACATTAACATTCGCCGATGTCGAACTCTGCCCACCTAAGGCCGCAATCTCATCCTTCCTGGCGTTATCTTTATCTTCGTAAATCTCAATCTACGAGCCAAAAACCATCGCCACAACCAAAGCCAAAACAGCAGCACATTATCAATTACAACAAAACAATCACAACCCATGAAAGTAGCTAATCTGAAAATATGCATGAAAAAAATGGAAATCATACGAGTTTGTGAGTGGTGGAGGAGATTTGCTCGATCGTATTGCGGACGCGGTGGCTCTGGTGGAGCCGGTCCTTCTGGGTCTGCGGCTCAGCTTGGAGATCCTTCACGATGAGCCGTTCGAGCCGCTCGACCTCCTCGTGCGAAGCACGCGTAACCTCCAGCAGCGTTGAAGCCATTTTTTTCCCCTTCTGTGTACGAGTGGAGAGGCTAAAAATCAGGGTTTTAAATTCTGCAGAGGTTTTTTGGGGGAAATTGTCGAAGAGGAAGGGGGTGAAGACTTACGACGTCGTTTTAAAGTGGTGCGGATATGAGTGTGCTTGGGCTTTATTCGCATGGGCCGGAGGTCTATTACTGGGCTTTATTGGTTTTTGCGGCAATTTTATTTTATTGGCATTTTTGCATGTTTATTATATTTTGATTCATTTTTGCCAAAGTATTATATTATATCATTCTAAAAGTAACAATAGATAAGTCATATATAAACAAGGAAAAATGCTAGGCCTCGTTACGGTATCATCTCGTCGGCTGTTTTCACCGTTGAATCATTTATATACTAACTACATGTGTATCCAACAATTAAAACACCCGACGAGATTATAGCATAACGAGACCGTAATATTTCCCATGTATATATTAACTTATGCTCAATGAAGTTAAAATAATATTGGTAAGAACAACACTCATATAATACACAAACATTAATTACAAAATAATATGCTAACAGAAATTCAAACAATAAAATAAAAGTTTTATTTTAAATATTTTATAAAATATTATTAGATAGATATATTACGATTAGATATATTATCATAAATTAATTTAAAATTCAGCATTTATGATAAATAAAATCTATTATTTATGATCACTATTTCTCCTCTTTTCTTTTTAATTTTTCAATTTTTTTAGTCATAGTAATTATTATTGTGAAGAGGGGTTCCATATAGGAAATATTACCGTCCCGTTACGAAACCATTTCGTAGAGGTTTGTAATCGTTAAATTGCAACGGAATAGTTCCTTAACGGAGTACAGCATCTTTATTTTCTTACAAACAGCACCCCTAATTCTGAGGAAGCTCCTATTGTTCTCCCTTACAAAAACAGTGAGGGCAAAGTTGAACTGATGGCCCAACAAAACTGAGAAACTCCATTAACAATGTGGAGATTTTTCCACGATGATGATGAGCAGCGAGATTATCTTCTTGAAGACTCTCAAAGCCTATGCTCTCTCTCCCCTGCCCAGGTCATTTCATGAACGAGTCAACTCATTCACCATTCCCATCGATGATCGATTTTATTACATTATCCACTACTTTTCGATTTTTTTTAATTTTTATTTTCGATTTTTGCTTCTTTACGAGCAGAGGATTTATGGGTTTGCTGCTCTTCTGCTTGCTGGGCTTGTCTTTATGCTCCTGGTATGAACAAAAAAAGTTGTTTCTTTGACTGTTCTTTCGACATGTTGTCTTCGAAGATCCAGTTGTTTGTATGAAAATTGTCTGAATTTTACAAGCGATGTTTAGGAAAAAGTGTTGATTTTGATTGCCTTTTGTTGTTGTTGTTCACAGTCGCTGGTTGTTTTTGCAAAGCCCATCAAATTTGCCTTGTTGTTTACCTTTGGGAACGTGCTGGCGGTAGGAAGGTATAATAATGTCTGCCCTGCCCAGATGTGCTGAATGAGTGTTTTTGTTGTTGTTTATGTAATGAAGCTATGAATGATTTGAAGTGAAAAGAAAAATTAGTACTTGCTGTGTGGCTATTAATTTGGAGTCACATAGGAAATTTCTCTATGTGTGAGGTGATTAAAAAGATTAGGTCTTTCCATTTAGTGGGGTGTGGACTCTTGGGTTTTACTTGTATTTCTCTCCCGAGTTTTCTGAGTTAATGATATCCACTTGGCAGCACAGCTTTACTGATCGGAACTCGGCAGCAGCTAAGAATGATGTTTGATGCAGACCGAGTCTATGCCACAGCAGTTTATGTTGGAAGTGTGATTGTGGCTCTTGTTTGTGCTCTTTTGGTAAGATTTTTTTTTTTTTTTTTTGGTTATTATTTAACTGGATATGTGATGAGAATTCTAAACGATATATGGAATATATTTTCGCTAAGAAGTTCCCTTTTGGGTTGTGAAATCTGACCATCTACTTCTCGAGCAATTTGATAGCTGATGCTCACGCACTTTCACCCTCGTCTTCTAATTTTGTTTGGCAAAGTTTATTCTAAGCTTGAAATGTAAAATTTGACCTACTACTGCATTACACAAATTGTTTTATCTTTCATTATATTGACTCTGTTTCGGTGTTTATGCTGATGAGTTCGTGATTTTCTTGTTTATAGTTGAAGTTGTTTTTGCGTATAGAGAGTTATATATTTACTAAGGTCTGTTTTGTATGTTGCAGATCCATAGTAAGATTCTTACCGTTGTTGCTATCATATGTGAAATCTGCGCCCTTTTTTGGTATGCCGATGCATAGTACATTAAATATACTCTTCAATTTTTACTGCAGTTACATTTGCTATTAGGTTTACCCGATTGCTTTTTATATTTGTCTCATTGTCTGTTTAACACATTACTTGGAATTTATAGCAAACGAAATGAGTTCAACATCCAAAGGAGGGAGCAAAAATTGAATATCACGTTTGAAAGTCTTATATCACCACCTTTATATCTAGTTTGTTGGTGTTTTGTATGATAGGTTGTTCGGGAAAGTACATTAACTGCTTTTTTTAATCTGCGTGGAAATGAGAATGGGACTTATCTTATCTAAGGCTATGTTATGTTTGGTAAACCTAGCTGATAAGTTAGCTGATAAGTTAGCTTATAGCTGATAAGTGGTTTATAGCTTTTAAGTGAATTTGAGCTTATAGCTGATAGCTTATGACTTATGGCTGAAAAGTTAGCTTATATGATAAAATTGTTTAGTAAAATTAGTTGATAAGCTAGTTGAACTTGTTTGAAAAGCTACTCAGTGAAGCTTATGAGATAAGCTGAGTTTTTCTCATAAAGTTCGTCCTTCCAACCAAGTTTATTTGAATATATGAAGTTATAAGCTAATCAAATAAGCTATAAGTTAGCTTTTATGCTTACCACACACAACCTAATTAGGATATAAGGGGAAGTATGTAGTATTTTGAAACTACTCTCCAACTATTTTAGTGTTTACTTATTCATTCATACAACCTTTTCAACCATTGCAGGTACAGCTTAAGTTATATACCCTTTGCCCGTCGTATGGTTTCTGATTTGACTATCCGTCTTTTCGACACCGAAATATAGATGACTCAAAACCGAGTCACCATTTTCCAGGCGGTATCCTTCATAAAATTTGAAAATTTTCGTGATTTGGTGTTTCGTGCCATTCTTTTTTTATGGGAACAATCCGTTTTATTCGTTCTTTGGTGTGTCACATCACTAATATCAATCCAAGTTTGTGTGGCTCCACTAATTTTCGTTACAAACATGTTGAATGTGTACCATTTTGTGAAGGGATCCTTTTCCTCTCATGCTAGTGTTTGTATTGGTTTTGTAATTGTATGTGGAAGGTCCATCGATTTTTTGACCTATATATTGTGTTTGAGTTTGTTGGATCATTTTGTTTGTCCGACGTTCTTGAAAATCGGAAATCATATCGAGTTATGTTATTTTGAAGTTGCCAGTTCACTCAGTTTGGAAAGTTAACAACACACAAGCTATGTACGCTAGGGATGTAGTTAGGCATGCCTTGCCTATAAATATTTATCTAATGTAATACGTTATATAATTTACAATTATATAAATATAATGGCATGTAAATTAAATTATTTGAAAACAATAAACGAAATATATATTGTATATATGTGTTGATAAACAAACTAAAAACTATTCATTATATTAAAAATCATAATAAAATGGGCCAAAAAAACAATTCAAATTACTTTCTGGGGCCAAAAGTTCACAATAAATTTTGCGTTTATGAACAGTATAGATGCGTATGGAAGGAGAATGGGCTTAAAACACATTTTTCTTTGGTTGGAGCATTTTTTGCTGTTGCGTTTGCATTTGCAGCTCGATTGGAGTTGCTCTGAACAAAGGACTTCTACATTTGTTCTCTTTCATCGAGGTTTGATTTATGCAAACACACCATTCTAACTTTTTAATTGAAAAAAAAACACGGTTTAAAGACGAGATTGTTGTTCTTAAAGGGTTTGTAGAATTTAACAAGGCTCCACATGGATGCTTTCTTGAGTTCATCAAGAATAAGCTCAACATAGAGGTGAGCAAGTCCCAGCTTCACAACAAGAAAAGAAGTACAAGAGAAGAAAGAGAAACGAATCGTATGACCTATCCAAACTGGAGTGTCGGAGCTTTCTGGTGTAAACAGCCGTTTAACGGTATTGTGCTTTCTTTAACATTAATGAACCAAGATGATGGCTTTTTTAATTTATAACACCTTCATGAATCTCTAAATAACTTTTTATATTTAGAAAGAGTTGCTATTGTGGGAAGCGAGCCGACTGGTTTGGCTGCTGATCATCTAAACAAGAATGGATTCGTGAAAGGACTCGTAGTTGTGCGAGTCAATGGGAGAAGGATGAAAGTGGAAAATTTCAGTTCAATGAAGTCGAAGGCTCGGATGCATTATTGGAACTGAGCAAAACCATGGTATTCCTCGAGGTAGGTTAGTTAGGGGCCATAGGGCTTGCTTGGATAAAAATATATCCGCTCAAAATAGGCTTTTGTTGTTAACTATAGTTAATTTTAAAAAAGTTATAGATAGTTGTAAATGAAATTTTGGATTTATATTAAAATAATATTTAAAATATTTATAGTTGATTTGGTGTAAAAGTACGAGACAGATGATATAAGTGATGGTTAGTTAAAATTCTGTGATTTGATGAATAGTGATTTATTGATATTATTTAATTATATTGATAATGTTGTGGATAGTGTAATTGAGTTAAAGTTGAGTTAAATTTTGAGTATAAATTGAGATAATTTATAAACAAACACACAGACAAGGATTGCTACCAATATGTAACTTTTCTTTATTAAACCAAGCTTATTTGACTTGTATGGTCCTTTTTTCCAGACTTTGGCAGACGAACCGGGACTGGAGAGAGACAACCGGTCGAACTTCAAAGCTGACTATGGCCGTTTCTCGACGAGCAACAGGACAACAATATACACACTGTTAGAACATAGTTTATTTTTGTCAGCTCCACAACACAATAAGCGAAAACAAACATGGTTCTGAGACTAGGAAAATTGAAATGCTTCGTAACTCGAAGACTATCGAATGATCGTCTTACGTGATGATATGGCGAATGCTGGGAAGCTTCGTAAGGTTCCGCTGTTTTGCCATTTTTTGTGTTGATAAGATGTAGTATGATTGTTTGTTATTTCAACTTTCAAGTGCTGATAAAAAAGCTCTTTGCCAGATGTAAAGGAATGAAAAAACACTAATGTGAATATGTGATGTACAGGGCTTTGTCTGTTGAACTTCAATATATTTGATCAGAAATTATGCTTGGAGGAATATTTTTTCATCTATTTAAGCATCATTAATTTTGATTTAGCTTGTTTTTTAAATTAATGACAATTTTCTAATATATATACATATGCTAGTATTTTCTTAAGGCTGGTTAGTCACATTGTGAGACAACTTTTCAGATATATACATATTTTCAAATTTTCAAATTAAAATATTATTCTAATAAATAATATAAGTCAAAGTATAGCATTACATATCACAAATATGCATGTTTGTTTTAAGTATGAACAATTAGGTGATAGTCATATCTTTGTGTTGCTTCACATATTTTACGATCTAATTGTTATACCACAAATTCTCGAACTGCTGGACCGCTCCTCTCGAACCGTGTTGCTCTCCTTGATCGTCGGTACCTGCAAAGCACGCCAGAGGTGGTCCCGACGCGGACACTCCGACGCTCAAGTCAGTGATGGTCTAGAGAGAAAACGGCAGAGTAACGAGATAATTCGTGTTGAATGAACCTGCTCCTTTTTATAGGAGAATTTTTGGAGAGTCTCAGTGGGATAAGAAGTCTTTCTTGTATGAACTACTTAATTAGATCAAGAACATCCTGAATTGCAAGAGTCCTTGTCGCCACCAACTCCTTCGTAACTTGATCTCGAAGCCATCCTCAGGTTCTAGCCCCTTCGACGGCATGCGAGGACCGCCGAACACACGAGGGCCGCCGGGCACCTCCCTTGGCCGAGCACTCTCCCACGCCGGGCACTCGCCCACGCCGAACATTCACCCTATGCCGGGCACTCATCATACCGGACGATGCCGCGCCAGACACTCCATCCCGACCACCTCCAATGCCGAGCACTTGAGGGGCGCCGAACACCGTGCAACGCCGAGCACTCCCAACCGCCAACTACCATAATGCTTAACCGATCCCCTTCATATTGACAATGATGACCGGATCACAACCGGTTCCTCACGAGCCACTACTAACGACCATATCACTAATAATTAGGGGTTTAGAGAGGGAGAAATTGAGCCCGCTCTCGAGCCTTTATCGAGTTGAGCTTGGTTTAGTAACTAAACGAGCCAATAAACAAACAAATATAAGAAAAATAGAATTCAACATTAACAAAAATTAATACTTATTATCATTTTAATTTTTCTCTTGCGATATTGTTATATTGCTTTTACTAGTAGGAAAAAAAAAATTAAGTTGGAGAATAAAAATAGCGCGATGAAGATATTTTGCAAAGCTGAACACATGAGTTAAGAGCGAGAGAAATCGAGCAAGAAATGAAGAAAATCGAACATGAGAGTATTCCAAGAGTGACAAGGAAACAAATCGAAGATGATTCCATAAAAGAGTTGCTAAATTTGAAGTATCTAGAGAAAAAATACGTGCACGGACAATTGGAAGACAAAACACTCAATTTTTTATGAACTTACATACTATATATAGTTTAGTATATAGTTTGCTCTCACGAGCTCTGGTCACATCGCGAGCAATTCCATCATTCTTACTGAGAGCTTATAATTTCTTCAGAGATAGCTCGTGACGTTTTGTATGGATTTCACAGTTCGAGATTTAATAATCGTGTGTTAGTTCGTCGCTCGAATTCGAACAAGTTTCTTGTTTTTTCTATTGGTAGTTGGAATGAGCATACGAGTAATTTTATTTGTAGTCGTTGGTTAAACAATTAATAAAATAGTTATGAAAAAAGAGTGGCACGATATATTTAGGGGTGAGCATGGTGCGGTTCGGTCAAAAACTGAACCGCACCGCAAAAAAACCGAAAACCGATTTTCTGAAATTTCTTAACCGCACCGCACCGCAAGAGAAAAAAAACTGAACCAAACCGAACCGAAAAGTTCGGTTCGGTGCGGTGCAGTTTTTCGGTTAACCGCAAATAAAAAAAAGTTACTACAAATAAAAAAAATACAAACAACATCTCATTGTGATTATGCCATTACAAAATCAAAGTTAAACAACCACAATAAGTCCAACACTCAAAGTTTTCTTTTTTTATGTTTTAAAAGTGCAACATGTATACAATATCTATGTAGAGTGGTAAAACTAAAATGACACTTTTTTAATATGCGGTGCGGTTCGGTTAAAACTGCACCTTTCGGACGGAGAACCGAACCGCACCGAAACATCTGCGGTTTCCAAAATCCAAACCGCACCGTTAACCGAGCTCGTCAAAAACCACACCGAACCGCACCGAGTTGCTCGGTTCGCTTCGGTTTTTTGGTTTCGGCTCGGTTTTACTCACCCCTAGATATATTTAAAGTATTTTTTTATTTATATTAAATTTACATGAAGTTAAATTAATTTTGTTTATATGCCCAAATTTTTTACTACCATTAAATTTCAAAAAGAAAAAAACCAAGAAAGTGGGGTTGGATAGAGAGAGAGACAGAGCAAAGACAATGATACGCCTCTCTCTACTATTCCCCACCGCTTCTCCTTCATTCAAACCCAACTCTAACTCCCGCAAATCCCTCCGCTCGGCCCCACAACCTTACTGTCTCCGGATTCGAGTCTCTCAAGAGCCGTCTGATCCGCCATGCCGACGCCGGCCGTCTCGGCGAAGCCTTCTCAACCCTCGACCTCATGTCCAGCGCCGGCCCCGGCCCGGACCTCACCGGTTACTACAACCTCCTCCGATCCTGCATCCACACCCGAAACCTGGAAATGGGCCGGGCCGTCCACTCGAAGCTTACCGAATCGGGTCTCGAGCTCGACGCAGCCGTCCTCAACTCGCTCATCAGCCTCTACTCCAAATGCGGCGACCGGAGGAAAGCGGAGGAGATATTCTCCTCCATGGGAGGATTAAGGGACTTGGCCTCGTGGAGCGCCATGATTTCGTGCTATGAGAAAGGCAACCTAAATTCGCAGGCCATTGCCATG